AAGTGGGGGAAGGGCAGAGAGACAAGGAAACACGGAATTTGAAGCAGGCTCCAGGCTCTGATCTGTCAGCACAGAGCCTAACACGGGGCTCCAACCCAGGAACAGTGAGATCATGACCTGAGCCAAAGTCAGACGCTTAACTGACTGAGCCACCCAGGTGCCCCAAGTGGGAACTTTTTAACTCACTGTTGTTCTCCATTAACAATTCTTGGCTCACCTCAGCATCACACATGTGGCCTACCCCAGAAAGATTTCTAATCATGTGGCCTACCCCAGAAAGAACTTGAGTACCCCTTCGAATAATGCTCTAATCATATATTATTTAGGTTACTTATCTTGTTTCCCCACTGTAATAAAGGCCATGTTTATCTATGGTGGAATAAGTGATTTGTGTCTGTTTTTATCCTCAGGTGCCTGCTGCCCTTTGGGAGTGAAATTATATAGGCTGAGCCCTAATGGCATCCGAATCTACTGGCAAGCCTCCAGGGGCTCTACCAATTATAGCACTGACCTCTACGGTTCTAAAGGCATTTTCACCTGTGCACCAAGAGCTGGCCTCAGTTTTTGTGATGTCACCAAGATACCCTGTGGGGATGTATATACCGTGATGGTCTCACCAGTTGCTGAGACAGGAGTGAAGCTTACTTTCTGTCCAAAAAAAATCTATTCAGGTAGAGCAAGTTACAATGCTTTATTTGAAACTAACCCTGAACTCAATCTGTCAGTTAAGACTCAGAGCAATCACACTTATTTGCTATGTTAGGAAGGTCAAAGAGGTGTGAAATTTCTATATGCGGCAGGCAGATTCTGGCTACGGGGATCTCAAGCTTCTTTGCAACTGTGATGTTTTCTTATTATATGATTTGGAGACACTCCTCCCCTCACTGTCCCTTTCTTTTTCAGAAAAAGGACCAGATGCTTGCTGTTGAAATAGTAAAGCAGATTTAAAATGATTTTTTGCTTTGAGATTTGGGAATCGGTTTTTAACATAGTCTCAGAGATCATGATAAACACCCTGAAATGTTGGAAATTAAGAGACTTGAATCTTTATCTGCACAGGTTCGAGAAGTTGGAGAATCAGGGGAAAAAATGAATTTATAAATCAGAAGCTAGCTTTGGAAATATGAGTGGGCAGGCAGTCTGTGGTCACAAAACATGACTGTCAGCAGCTGCCATCTCACCAGAGCTGGCAGAAAAACATTAGCAATTCCCCTGTTCTGTCTTCCAGCACCTTCTGCTACCTTGCCCAGAGCATAGACATATATTTTTCATATATTTCTAAAAAATAAATTTTAAGAGAAGAGATAAGGCCCTAGAACTTTATAGGTGATCACAGGAAGAAGAATAAATACTGACTCAGAAACCTTTACTGATAACCAGAATCTAAGAATTTCTAATTATGTATAGGTAACAGGAAGGCTCAAATGGCCCCTGGAAAGAACCAGGCCAGGTCTTCTTAATACTGTTCTTGCTGCCCTTGGCTGTCATGCTCTGATTCCTTGTATTTTCATTATCTTGTCCACAGAACAAGCTGGCCCAAAGTACTGCCCTATGGGAAGGGACAGATCTTAGGAAAAAGAGACTCAATACCAGTGTTTCATCATGTTTGTATTGTTTTGTAATTTATCAAGTGTTTTCACATTCAGTATCTCATTGAATGCTCAAAATAACTCTATAAGGTAGATTCAACAACACGTTTTATTAGCTCCAACGTATAAATGAGAAAATTGAGGCTTCCAGCCTCTCAAATCTCTTATCTATAACTCTTCTAACCTCTAAATTCATATTCAAACTTGATACCTCTACCTGGAGGTGCCCCAAGGCATTTCAACTCCTCAGGGCAAAAGGGAACTCCTGATCTTCTGCAGTTTCTAATCTTCCTCCCTGCATCCTTATTTCAGGTACACAAGCTAGAAATCCTTCAGTCAGAGGTGCTTGGGTAGCTCAGTCCGTTGGGCCTCTGACTTCGACTCAGGTGATGATCTCACCATCCGTGAGTTCAAGTTCTACATCGGGCTCTGTGCTGACAGCTCAGAGCCTGGAGCCTGCTTCAGATTCTGTGTCTCCCTCTTTCTCTGCCCCTCCCCCACTAGTGCTCTGTCTCTTTCTCTCTCTCAAAAATAAAATAAAAACATTAAAAAAATGTTTTTAAGAACCCTGGAGTCAGCTTCAGCCTCTCCTTTACCCTCCATATTTAAGGGGTCTCCAAATCCTATCCTATTCACTTTGTGATGTTTTGGGGTTTTTAAAAATATTTTTAAAAAACATTTTAAGTAATCTCTACACCCAGGGTGCCTGGATGGCTCAGTGCATTGAGCATCTGGCTCTTGATTTCAGCTTAGGTCATGATCTCACAGTTTGTGAGTTCGAGCCCCACCTTGGCCTCTATGCTGACAGCATGGAGCCTGCCTGGGATTCTCTCCTCTCTCTGCCCCTCCCCTGTTCTATCAAAATAAATAAATAAACATTTTTTCAAAAACTTAAAAGAAGAAGAGTAATCTCTACACCCAACATGGAGCTTAAACTTACAACCCCAAAATCAAGGGTCACATGCTCTACCGACTGAGCCAGCCAGGCACCCCACAATGGTTTTTAAATCTAACTTCTCTTCTCTCCTACACCTACTGCTATATGATAGGCCCTCACCACTTCTCCCCGAGACTACTGCCCCAGTGTTGTCTTCTGGAGCTCATGCCAGCCTCCATGCTATTATCAGAGTTGTCATTTCCGGACACTGATCCAATTATGTTTCCTTTATGCTTCAGAATCCTCAAAAGTGTTCCATTGCCCCATGGGATAAAAGTCAGTACTTAGAGCATGGCATTCAAAGCTCCTCACAGTCCATCCATAGTTAGTCTTCCTACACTTGCACTGTTCAATAGATATTTAACACAAGCCATGTATGAAAAAATTTAAATTTTCTAGTAGCCACATTAAAAAATTAAAAACAAATAGGTAAAATTAATTTTTTAAGTTTATTTATTTATTTTGAGCAGGGCAGGGCAGAGAGAGAGAGAGAGAGAGAGAGAGAGAGAGAGAGAGAGAGAGAGAGAGAGAGAGAATCCCAAGCAGGCTCTGTGCCATCAGTGCAGAGACCAACATAGGCTCGATCCCACAACCCTGAGATCATGACCTGAGCTGAAATCAAGAGTCAGACGCTTAACCAACTGAGCCACCCAGACTCCCCAGGTAAAATTAATTTAATTATATATTTTAGTAATCCAACATCTCCAAAATATAATTTCAACATGAAATCAACGTAAAAATTTCACATTATTTTTTTCATATTAAGTCTTCAAAATCTGGTGTTCATGTAATACAGCATACCTCAGTTCAGACTAGCCACATTTGGAGCCCTCAGGAGCTACATGTGACAGGTGCCTGCTGTGTGGAACTACACAATTCTAGGCTCATTCCACAATATCTGTCCTAAGAGGACTCTATTCTCTAGCATAGCCGCATGGAATCATTCCCACACACCTGCCCTCACCACACACATATACTGTGCTGTACCATGCTTCTGAGCTGATGCAGTACTCTTCTCTTTGCCTGGGATTCCACCTCTGCCAAGGGAATTTCCTCTTCTCTGTTAAGTCTTCTCCAATTTTTAAAAAAATGTTTATTTTTGAGGAAGAGAGCGAGCATAGGGTGGAGGAGGGGCAGAGAGGGGGACAAAGGATCCAAAGCAGGCTCTGTGCTGAGAGCAGAGAGCCTGACTTGGGGCTTGAACTCATGAACTGTGAGATCATAACCTGAGCCGAAGTCAGACCCTTAACTGACTGAGCCACCCAGGTGACCCAAGTCTTCACCAATTTTTAGAGGCTGATTAGTCTTTGTGCTCCCTCTTTTGTGGCCCCATATCACCCTTACCTTTACCCCGCCATACAGCTGTGAGTTGACAATGTGTTATTTCCCCTAATAAATAGTAATCTCTGGACTCTCAACACATAGCACATAACTATCTCCAATATATTTTAAATTAAAAAATGAATGAGTTTATGTGTTTGCCTATGATCCCACAGCCAGTATGTCAGCCACTAGAAGACCTTGTTATCAGAATACCCTCGGATTCGGAACGCCTGGGTGGCTCGGTAGGTTGAGTATCTGACTCTTGATTTGGTTCACAGTTCGTGAGACTGCCCCTCATGTCTTGCTCTGTGCTGACAGCATGGAGCCTACTTGGGATTATCTCTCTCTGTTCCTCCGCTGCTCGTGCTCTCTTTCTCTTTCTCAAAATACATAAATAAACTTAAAAAAGAACTCTATACCCTCTGGCAGGGTGCCATAGCAACCTGTAGCCATTCCATATTAGGAATGATGGGTGTTTAGACTCAGGGAATCTGCTTTTGCTCCATTTCTCTGGTAAAAATCAGGCCTCTGAGGAAAGTTCTTTCTTTTTGTTTTTTGCGTTTCTTTTTTTCAATATCAGTGATGCCTTCCTTTGATTATTAGGACGATATTATAAATGATAATAATGACCAATATTTATTGAGTGTATTGCCAGGCACTGTCCTATTAACTCAATTGATTCCTATAACCACCTTATGAGGTCGGTGTTCTTATTCTTTACCACTTTACAGATAAATTAAGGCACAGAAAAGGAAAGTGACTTGTCCAGGGTCATACTGCTAGCTGTATCCTCTTATCACCCAAGCCGGTTCTTATTCATTCTTTGGTTCACTTTTCCACTATTCTTTTTTTTTTTTTTAATTTTTTTTTTTAACATTTATTCATTTTTGAAAGACAGAGAGAGACAGAGTGCAAATGGGGGAGGGACAGAGAGAGAGGGAGACACAGAATCCGAAGCAGGCTCCAGGCTCTGAGCTGTCAGCATAGAGCCCGATGCGGGGCTCGAACTCACGGACTGTGAGATCATGACCCAAGTTGAAGTTGGCCGCTCAACCGACTGAGCCACCCAGGTGCCCCACTTTTCCACTATTCTTAAAGCTATACCTTCACCATCTTTTTTTAAAGTATCTTTAATATTTTAAATATGTCAGTTAATACATATAAATGCTTTTGTTGTTATTCATTCCAGTAACCTGCTCTGGAAGTACACTTGGAATGGGTAAGTCCTTTTTCTCATGGATGAAATAGAATTTTTGTTGTTGCTCTTTAGGGTGACGTAATGAAGCTGACTCTTTCTGTGATGTGAGTGGTTCCTGCCCTCCCCTCCCATAACCGTTTCCCCCTATTAGAATGCCTCCCCTCAGATTCCACCAGTTGAAATGAATTCCTTTGCATTCGGAAGTCTTTTCAGTCTCCCAGGATCCCACGGGAAAATGTAAATACGTGTCAGAGAGGCTGCCGCTTCCTCCTTCATTTCAGAGACTGGTTCCCAGCCCTGCTATACGTTGAGTCATCTTCTGGAGAGCTTAAAAGTAACTGACGCCTGGGCTTTATCCCCAGAAAGTCTGATTTAATTGGTCTGGGGTAAGTCTGGGCATCAGGATTTTTCAAAGCTCCTTAGGTGATCCTACAGCGTAGCCAAGCCTGAGAACTGCAGCTTTAGAGCAGGCCTTCTCAGACTTTATTGTGCATGCAAATCACCCGGGGTCTTGTTAAAACCAGATTCTGATTTGGTAGGTGTGGGAGGATCAGAGACTTTGCACTTCTAACAAGGTCCAGGTGATGCCGGTGACATTGATGCTGCAGGTCGGACCACCTAGTAGCCAGGTGTTAGAGGGAAACTGTTAACAGCCTGCAAAGAGCAAGGATGTCTGCTTTGCATTTACATGGGTGGCTATGCCAGTGGAGGAAAAGAGGGTGCTGAAGGGGGAGTTGGAGTAAGGATACTCTCACTACCTCCTTGGCTATGCTCAGAACTGACCTCCCCTGGGCTATTCTAGGTCCCACATGGAGGCTACTCTTGGGCAGGGCATGACCACAGAGCTGTGTGTGCTGGCCCAGTGAGTAGCATGTGCTGCTTTAAAGGAATCCTTGCCACATCTTCCAGGGGCCTGCTTGGTTTGGGGCTTTGAGAAAAACCCCAGGGAGTATTATCAACCCCAAACTACAGATAGGACATACACACACACACACACACACACACACACACACACACACACACACAGTCACATGCCCATTCAGACATGGCTGACTTTAGAGGGTATGAGTGGAAATGAAACCTTCCCATCGGTAAACACCACAGGAAAGCCTCCCAGACTGGGCCAGCTCCCCATCCAACACTTCCTTCCATCGACAGGGATTGGGTCTAGAGTCTCTCTCCACTGCCTGTTCTCCAGGTCCAATGCCTCTCTGAGCACAGCAGGACGCATGCTTTCCAATTCTTGTCCCACCTGCAGATCTGAAATAAGCACAATCCCTATTAATTTTTAAAAGTGTTCTGTCTCCAGCAACTATAGGGAAACCTGCCTGACTTGTTAAAAACAAACTGTGAGTGGGCACCTGGATGGCTCAGTTAAACGTCTGACTCTTGATTTCGGCTCAGATCATGATTTCACCATTTTGAAACTGAGCCCCGTGTCAGGCTCTGTGCTGAGCCTCTGTGCTGAGTCCTCATGACCATGAGCCCTGGTCTTCAGTGAAATGTACACAGGCCTGGATCTGCATTTTTGGATCCTATATTCAGTATTATGGCAGTATTTAACCAGTGTTTCCCTGAGACCCAGAGGGGTGGTAGAAGGGACTTGGGGGCCTCTCGGAGGAGAGGAGTGGTATGTTATAATACTGGCCTTTCCTAACATTTTGTTAAAGAAAGAGTTGCAATGGCTCTTTAAAAAAATGCTTGAAAACCATCATGCTTAGACTTTGCTACTCATCAGCATCACCAGAAATCTTGTTAAAAATGTAGTCTCAGGGGTGCCTAGCTGGCTTAGTCAGTAGAGCATGTGACTTGACCTCAGGGTTGTGAGTTTGAGCCCCACCTTGGGAGTAGAGATTACTTTAAAAAAATGTAGATGTCTAGGCCTGTTGAGGTGGGATAGGGTCTGGGCCTCTGCAGTTCTATCAGTTTCTCAGATGATTCTGATACTCTGGAATTTGAGCAGTAGTGCTCTGGTCAATACTCTCCCTCCCCTCTTCCTCTGTCCCTCTGGGCTGCCCCAGGTTTTCATTTCTCCTTCCTTAGTGAGGTTCAGGCTTGAGCCTGAAATCTGACACTCTCTTCAAGTAGATCCTGAAGCACTCTCAAAAATAAGAGTAAGGCAGATCACTTGAGAGTCTCTACATCATACAGAATTCATTATTATCTAAGGAGGAATTACTGTTGTCTCTCGGTTTGGCATTTCTCTTCCTTATACACAGGACTAATCAGATTGGGTTGCTGGGGGACATGGGGCTCCCAGATACACTAAGGGAAGCCTTGGGAATCTTGTTGGTCTAAGACTTTTGGTCTTCCTTGGCTTTTGGATTACCCTGAAGTTTTCTAACAACATGAATGGATTGTTTAAGAGACAGATCTGGGTTCAAATCCCACCGCTATCACTTACCCTTCGGCAAGTTGCTTCAACTCTCCCTCAGCCTAGGTTTCCTGAAAATTGGAATAATGAATTCATCAGATGTTATAAGGATTAAATAAGATATAAACTGTTGGACACAATGAGAGTTCCATAGTAAGCACTTACTTAATAAATGGTAGTTATTTTTTTAATTTTTTAAAAGTTTATATATTTTTGAGAGAGAGAGTGTGCACACGTGTGAGCAGGGGAGTGGCAGAAAGAGAGAGAGCGAGAGAGAGGATCCCAAGCAGGCTCAGCACTGCCTGTGCAGAGCCCAACACGGGGCTCTGAACTCATGAACTGTGAGATTGTGACCTGAGCAGAAATCAGAAGTCAGACACTCAACTGAGCCACCCAGGCGTCCCTAAAAGGTAGTTATTACTAATTCAAGATCAGTTCAAGCTCATATCATGCTGTATTATATTATGTGCCAGTTATTAACATTTTAATGTGCTTCTTGTAAGATATTTGTGTTGTAACCTCAATCCTCATAATACCCTAATTGATTCATTCTCAGAGTATGGTCCCAGGGCCAATAGCATGAGCAACATCTGGGAACTTCTTAGAAATGCAATTTGTGGGGCTCCACCATAGACCTAATGAGTGATGAGTCAGAAATTCCAGGGTTGGGGCCCGGCAATCTTTGTTTTAACAAGCCCTCTGAGTGATTCTGATGCACACTCAAGTTTGAGAACCACAGCTCTAATTCAAAGCAGCCATTCTGATGCTTGAAATGTGATGCAGGTTGGAAGGTAAGAGGGAAAACCACCTGGGGCAAGGGGGCTCTAACAGGAAGTAGTTTGACATCCCTCCATGGAGGCATTGTTTGTCCTCAGCATCCAACCTGCTTCCTTGTCACTCACACTTTGGGGGGAATTTTCCTCCTGGAAACTCCCTCAGCAGTTAAACAGATTTATTATGTTGTCCCTACACAGACCCCCGAATCAATAAGATTAGGTAGCTGTCTGAGAGCCCAGCAAATTGGCCTGGGGTAGAGGGGGAAGTGGAAAGTTCTTTGTCCTGAGTCAGGAGTCTGAACTCCAAGAGACCCTGGGCAGGTTCATTTCCTGAAGCAACCTGGTTAGTTAGAACCTGCTGGTTCGTTTCTTCTTGACCTTTGAACAGTTCAGACCGTCTTAATTTCCGGTTTACTTGCTGTGAAGTGCTACGAAAACAGCCTTTCAAGTCAAAAGACTAAGCTAGATTTCAGAGATATTTGAGGGCTTTTTAATTTAAGAAAATGTCTGCATATTTAATGTATCTTGTGGCTTCTTCCCTTCCTTGCCCTTTCAGTGATTTACCGAGGGAAAAGAAATGCAGAATAACACACTGAGCCACAGACAAAAACAGAGGCTGGACCTAGTGAGTAACTTCAATTGAAATGGTATGATTCCAAGGCAAAATTTTTTGGCTTTGTTCAAAAAAATTCTTCCCGTATCTTTTGCAGAGTTGACTCGATTGTTAGTGCGATTAGAGGTGGAAAAGCTCTATTACAATACAAAATACCTCTAGGGTAGGATAAGCTCTTTTGGCCTTTAGATTGCAACTCAGACTCCACTTCCTGAAGGCAAGCAAGGTCAGGTGTGTCCTCACCTGTGCAGGAGTTCAAGCTCTGATGTGGAGAGGACTCAGTTGAGAAATGAATCCAGAAAGTCCTCTGGAAGGCTGCCAGAGTGAGCTAGCATGCTGGGAAAGTTCTGGAAACGTGAAAGGTCTGCTGAGAAGGAACTCTTTCTGAAATTTCACATCCAGACACCACACAGACTTCAACACATCCACTTTATAGGTAGTTCACAGACACCCTTGCCAAGCATCCCTCTCTCCGTTCAAAGGCTGCAAATGTTCACTTGGAGAGCTTGAAATCAAGCCACCACACAGAGACACTGCTCATCTCAAGACAGACCCCCAGCAGGACCTTGGCATAGTTTGGAGAGCAAAAGCTGCCAGGGCAACCTGTAGTAACAAACACCCTCATCTTAAGTTCAGAGGAAGCCAAGTTGCTGGTAGTGTTCACCGAGACAAAGCATCGTGTGATGGTACCTCTGCGCAAGCATCTGGGAAAGCCAAACTGCCAGCCTGTTGCTAGGAGGATTGCAGTCATGGTTTTGAGTGAGCAAAGACTTCGATGGAGGAATGGCCAAGGCAAAGCCTTACACTGTGGCAGACTGACATCCATGCATCTTTTTCAGGGAGGACCATCGATCTTGCTGGTGGTATCCCCCACTCACACTGTGCTATTTTCACCTTTGGAGAGGAAAGACAATGATATATAATATAAATTTGTCGGGGGCGCCTGGGTGGCGCAGTCGGTTAAGCGTCCGACTTCAGCCAGGTCACGATCTCGCGGTCCGTGAGTTCGAGCCCCGCGTCGGGCTCTGGGCTGATGGCTCAGAGCCTGGAGCCTGTTTCCGATTCTGTGTCTCCCTCTCTCTCTCTGCCCCTCCCCTGTTCATGCTCTGTCTCTCTCTGTCCCAAAAATAAATAAACATTGAAAAAAAAATTAAAAAAATATATATAAATTTGTCATACCTAGAAAAATGTTTGTCCTTTGAATGTCAATAACATTATTAAAAAATAGTGTGAGTGGGATTGCATAACACACATGACCATAGTGCTACTCCCCAAAAGCATAGCCATGGAGCCAAGAATGTCTGTAGTTGGGTACAACCGTAAAACTCTGCCCAAAGGGAAGTGGGGCATAGAGTTAAGGCTTGAGGTAAGCTGGGGGGGGAGGGGGGGGAAGGAACTTTTTTTTT